ATTGTGTCTGGTAATGGGATGGAGCGAGTATGACAAGGAGTGACAAGGAGTGGGTAGATGTAGTAGCTCTCGGTCCTGGGTCACTGCCAAATGCCGGGAGTAAATGTATGGGCCTGATAGGAATACCAGCTAAAAGCCATGGGAAGGAGCCATTCCCATCCAGGATAGCCTCCAGGTCAGGGAAGCAAGATCCTGTGATCCACACTAATAGTCACAAAATTCCTCCAAAAACTGTCTATATTTCCCCCATACTCCTCTCCCCTATGGGAAGCCAACACAAGAGCACATATAGTAACCAGAGTACCAAGTGCACCCATTTATTTGTTTAACAAGGAATGGAAGACACTCCTTGTTCTGCTGTGAAAATACAACAGGCGAGCCAGTCTGCTTCCTGCCCTGCTGCTCTCTGTTCCAGTTCTCGCTCTGCAAGAGCACAGACTCTGGTAAAATTCCCAAATGAGCCAAGGAGCACTGAAGAAGAGCACCCACCGTGATAGTGCAGGTGGTGTCAAACACAGGCTGGCCGTAGGATCCAGGAAGAGAGGAAAGAACATGAGATGGTTCCAAGAGGTGACAAAGGAAGCGGGTGGGAGAAAACCAGGGAGCATGAGCTACAGGAAGAGAAAGGAGCTCAAAACCAAGTCAAGGAGTGGGAGAGCAGAGAGACACGAGAAAACACACTTGGTGGAGGGGGAAATGGACCTGCATCAGCACACAGATGACTAAGGGTCCCAAGCTAAGTAGGTGCAAAAGAGACGATGTTTCAGCCCGGGGCAGAAGCCACTCACCTACTTGATGGAGAAACACAGGCGAACATGGCAAAAGCAATCCAGAGGCCTGATAGTGCAGAGCCAAGTCCAGCAGGAATGAGAAGCGAGACCAGAGATGGGGCTGATACTTTAGGGTGCCCAGGACTGTATGTCCCCGTTACCAGGTGCTTGGAAAGTCATCAATTCCTGGTCATTATCAGAATCCTTGCGTGAGAGGGCCTGAAATCTGTATTCTTAACAAGATCCTTGGAGGATTCTAAGGGGCACAAAAGCTGACCTGAGAGTCACTAGGGTGAATTTTGGGGAACTAGGCTCCTACTTTCTAGATATTTGTCATTATGGCACTGTTCCACCCCAGCGGATGCAAAACAACATTTTACACAGCACATTCCCTCTCAACAAATAAGACTTTGAGCTCAATATGAAGCCAGATACCCAGATAAATCCTTGAAATCGATTACTCCAGAGGAGAGCAGGTCTGACTTGGAAGGAATGCTAAAGCACAGGAAACACCTCACAATCCCTATGAGAGAATCTCGGAAGGACCAGAAAGACTATTTATGGCCCCTCTATCCAGGCACAGAGCAGGGACATAAACAAGGGAGACCAGAAATTCTAACTCCAAGTACTACATCTATGCTTGCACAAATCCTCAAGACTTACACCTGGCACACCGTGAGCGCCTATAAATATTTGTTAAATACTTTTAAAATTGTTGTTAAAGCCTCCATCTGATCCAAAATCAGTCATGGTGATAGAAAATATATATATACCCTACTCCAAAGGAGCAGTTTTAGTAGGTAGAGAGCTATAGAAGTATATGTATGCACAGAGACACTATACGTATAGAAATATAGGTAAGGATAAACAAAGGTAAAGGGATGAGAAAGAAGAGGATCAGAAAGCTCCCTAAAGTGGAAACTAGTGTGCTTTCACAGATTTCCTGTTAGTGGACTTAGATTTTGAAATATCATGTGCAGAAGTTAAAGATGATGATGTTCCCAACCATGAGTGTAGGTTTGGCTCTGAACTTTAACAGTGTGAGGAAAGCTGAATTTTAGGATAAAGATTCTTCGGAAAAAAAAAAATGATGATAATGGTGACGATAACAGTAACACAGACACCAACAAAAGACAGCAAATTTTTAAAAATAACAAATGAAGAGCTGGGCGTGGTGGAGCACACCTGCGATCCCAGCAGCTCGAGAGGCTGAGGCAGAAAGATCGCCAAGAGTTCAAGGCCGGCTTTGGCTACAAAGTGAGTACAAAGGGAGACCCTGCCTCAAAAGCAAAAAAAACAAAAAACAAAAAACAAGTGGAATGAAAGAAGGATGGGGCAGACACGACCACTATTAATGCAGTGTTGATGAGTAATTCAGGGAAAGTCAAGTTCTTCAATTGCTTTTTAATTTTTATTTTTATTGTGAAAGAAAATTATCATCATATTGGAAAGAGTACAACAAAATTAGGTCAGTAGTAGCAGAAGCCAAAGAATGGTTAAAAAATCAGAAGAGAATGGTAGCTACTATCTTTCGACCTAGATAAAATGTGCCCCAGAATATAGAGAGGGTGAAAATAGCTTAACCATGTTTCTCAGTTTTGAGGAATTAGAAGAAATTGGAGAAAAGAGTCTGTGACCAACCTGGAGCAAACGTTGAGAGCAAAATAACCACAAGAAATCAGTGTAGGATAAGAATAGATCATATATATAATATTAGCTTTTAGGTTACTTTTTGACATGATGATTAGATTATGCAACTGTGGCACTTTCACAAACCAGATTCTAGAGGCTTCTCGATGCTCCTGGCCATGACACAGCAATGTGAGCTGAATGTTAATGTAAGGCAACGGGGCGACAACTGATTCAACACCACCTGGAAATACTGTTTCATGGATCACAGTCAACCTGGTTTCCAGGGGAAAGCCACAGGGCTTGGCCCAGTGTAACCCTCTTATGACAGACTTCTATGCAGATGTAGGAATATTTACATTTGTAGGTGACCTTGGGCTGCTAGATGCTGGAGCTACAATAATCAAATTCTGAAAGATTTTGACAGACAGGAACATGGGACCAGAGTTAGCTAGGCAAAATGTATTGGTAATCGAAATTAGATCCACTCTATTAAGCCCCACAAAACAACAGGATGGAGGTACACAGAGTTCAGAAATCCTGTTAGTTGTCAGGTTCATTAAGTCGACAGTATGACAAAAAACTGAACACAACCAAGTATAATTAAAAGGTTATATGAGGGGGGTAGTTTCACTCTACCCTGTACTGCACAGCCACCTGGATGGCCTGTTCAGTTTGGGGGATGTGACGCTCTACAGAGCTAGAAGCAGACTGGTGTGGGCTCAGAGGAAAGAGTGGGGTTAGGTGGACCTGGAGACATCATCAAAAGAATGACTGAAAACAAAGCGGGGTGCTACATGTAAGAGATATGTTAGCTCTATAAAGATTGGACGGTCTGCTACACAAAACAGAACTGCCTCTTCCAATCTTCCCTGAGAGACTAGAATAGGCCCATTAACTGGAGAAGTAAGTCTGGGTGCCAGCAGAGAACCCAGATTCCAAACATTCATCATGAAGACATTGAACAGTATAATCCTTGGGAAGCATTCTAAGAAAAGAAGGTTACTACTAACAGGTCATCAGTATCCCACAGTGAATGAGTTTTCAGAGTGTCACTTGCCTGTGGAAGTGTGTGGCCCCACAATGAAGAGGTACAGGAGTGATTGCTAGCACACCGGTCCAGGGCTTCTCATCCTGGCACTTTGGGCCAGACCCAAAATACAGTTAGCAGATGCAGCAAATGACTTTCACTTGTTCATCATGGCCATTTTTCTGTTCACTTGTGAAGAATGAAATGTATGGGGGGGGTGCGTGTGTCTTTGTGTGTGTGTGTACCCATATGCACACATGTGTTTAGAATTAGGAGAAAAGGAGAGAGCTGAAGGAGATGAAAGGAGTGTGAATCACAAAATTCCTGAAGGCATAAAACAAGGGTAACTAAGAACTTACAAAAGTTTTTTAGGAACTAAATTGGCCTCCCACTGCAAAAAAAAAAACAAAATTTAATCGATCTATGTTAGACAGCCCCCATTTTCACCACTTAGGGACCCCTTGGTAACAGGATACTAGAGACACCCACTTGGTGTAGTGACAGGGATACCTCACTGTAACCAAGGCCTTGAAGACACCTAACTGTATAGTTCCTATAGCAGGAGAAATATCTCTAAATTGGCCTAATCCCAGCCATCCCAGAGAACCAAACTAGCCCCATGATAGCAAGAGGGGAAAATCAGAGAGAAGCTGCCCTGTCTGACCACTGGTTTATTGCCATCCTAGAGCAAGAGTCCAAAGCCAAAAGGAAGCAGAGGGGCAGAGGGAACACCCAGGACATGTCAGCAGTGACCCTCCACCTTACGCTTCCCCTCCCTTAGCTAGCCTTGGGTGCCAAGAGAAAACACAGGTCCCAAATGCCCACACTTGGAAAACCGTAAGATCAAAGTCATAATGGCTGTCCTCTTCTGTCTTTTAACAGGAAAATCTTCAAAATCGAAATTAAAACCAGAGCAAGGAATCTCAATGCTATCCACTATGGAGTCTTATTTGGAAGGTATAACTTGTAATGACTTTAAATGACCCATAGAAGTTATTAATCCATCCACAAAGAAGTAAGAAGCATAGAACTTATATGTCCACAGCCAAGGAAACTCCCCTTTGACCTTTTTAAACCAGGCCTGCCTTAATCAAGGCCAATGACTAAGGTATTGTCTTTGGAATTTAGTGTCAAGGTTTAAGGTTCAGATACGACACTGAACCAAGGAGTCAAGTGCTCTGGCATTTTGCAAGGCAAGGAAATAATATTTATGACTGCAGTTAGAAATGAAGATAATGAATTATTCTTATTCAATTCATTTGTTGATATTTACTGCACATCTACTGTATACTGGGCAGTTTATAAAGATGGACAAAACCTAACACACCCTCTCAGGACTTAAACTGTAGTGGTCAAGATGTAATAAAAACAAAGGGAGGTCATCATATTCCATGAGCCTGTGCTACCAGAATATCAAGGAAGCTTCTTACCCCAAAACACATGATCTTCACCCTGAGTTGCCCCAGCTGTTAAGGAGGTGACTTTGAAATTAATTCCCTCAAGGATTAAAAAAGATCCAAATTCATTATACCACACATTCAAATGTAATAATTTTTCCCATTCTTTTTCAGTTGCCACTGAAATGGAGAAAGATGAAAATGAAGATGATGAAGATGAAGACGATGGTGAGAAACAACATAATCTATTCAAAGATTCCTGCTTTCAGCACAGTATCCTTGGGCTGGGAAAGTTCCTTCAAGTGGTTACCTACCTCCCTTCTGATCTAGCTTATACCAAGTTCCGGACTTGACCTGGGAACATACTGGGCACATTCCCCTTCAAAATCTCCTAAAGAAAGGGGATAAAACAAGAAATAGAGTCTCCAGAGGAAGAAAGAATTATCTAGAGCAGGACCAAAAGTCCATTTTCCCACTCAAAAGCACCGGATTAGGGCCTCCTACATTTACAGAGGGTCGAGGCTTTTGCTGGGCTCCCTGAGGTCTGGGAAGCAGGGCTTGAGTGGCATGCATGCTCCCATCCGGATAGACTTACCTGGTGGCCCGTAGGTAGCAAATAATTTAGCTCCTCTAAATGATGCCCTTAAGGATTTATTACATTTTTACTGAAGAGGGGCTAGCTGGATCCTCATGGAGGAAGGACAGGAGAAAATCCTTATGGTGTGGCAAGATCCCAACTTGCACAGCCACTCTTCACAAAACTCAAGCCCTGTAACTAACCAGACTCATCCCTACCAGAAAATAATTTAAGGGCTCTGGTCTGTTATACTAGACTTGCAGGTGTGAGGGAAATCAGGTCTCAAGTACACACACCCCATTCTAATCCCAGCCTCTACCCCACCTTGGTGCTTTTCAAACACTTCTGAACTCTAGACTGCGGTCCCACCATGCCCTCTGCAACCCCAGAAGGGTACTGCGAAATACAACTTTGTCCATCTTACTGCTTTGCAGTGTGGAAGAGAGGCCAGGCCCAACTGCAGATGCTGAGTAGGCAAGTGGGATTCACAGCCAGGAAACAGAGCTGAGGGTCCCTGGGTGGAAAGTGGCTACAAAGAAACACAGGGGCAGGCAAGTGGGGCTAAACTGACCTCCCAAGATTTCTGTTGAAGGAGACATCACCCGTGGGGTGGAGGAGGCAGATTAATCTAGGAGAAGCTTCAACAGCCTGACTAATGTCAGCGAAGAATATTTGTCACTATAATATAGGGATGGTCATATTGACTTTACAGAGAGAATATACACGGCTCAGACATTTATCCTAAATCCAGGAAATAAAGTTCTGTCAAGAAAATCCTTACAGGAGAGACCCTTGCATGAGGAAGAACTAAGATTTGTTGATTTTTTTTTTTTTTTTTTTTCGGTAGCGGGGATCAGCGATCAAACTTGGGACCTTGCGCTATCTTGCGCTTGTGCTTGCGAGGTGGAATAAACGAGCTGAATCCCCGGCCCCAATGAAGACTTGTTAGTAATCAGAAAAAGGGAAGGAACATTGTCAGTTCAGGGAACTGTGTGTGTGTGTGCCAGGACTGACCTACATGGACACCGGCCCTCTCTCCAAGCCCCAGTAGAGGCGGTCCTTGTGCCTATTGCACAGATAAGAGGTTAGGACACAAGGGAGAGAGGTGGCGACGTGTCAGAAGGGGCCCCGGCTTCATAAGATGCTTGCCCCGGCCTCCTCCTCCTCTGCGCAGCCATTTCAGGAGTAGATGATGGTCTCACCAGAACAGAGGTAGAGCTGGCTCAAGTTCCCAAAGGAACGTTAAACAGAAACAAAGCTGCGCCTTCTCACTCAGCCCCAGTTAAAGCTGTGCTGCTGCTTATCTCCCATCTGACTTGATGGTCCCCACCCCCTCTGGTGTTAATCAGCTTAATTATCACGCCAATCAAACACTTCTGTGCACCACTGTTTGATATTAAGAGATGCTGAGTTCACCTTCTTCCTGTGATAAACACCCATTCTCCCCCCTCAGATTAACCGTGTTTTATTCAATAAAGCCTACTTAAATACGCCAATCACAAATAGGGTAGGGGGTGAACTGTCAGAGCCAGAGAGGGCTCATTCTCCACCCTGAGCAGCCCCATGGAAGGCAGCCTCACGGCTTTCAACACCTGACATTCGTGTCTGGACTCAGACCCCACTTCCCCCGCTTAGTCCTGTTCTTTTTGGCACTGCCCATGAGGAGCTTCCCAAGCGCTCCCTCAAATTCCCATGTGTTCTACTTGAATTTTCCTAAATGGCGTTTGCAAAACTTCCCACAGTCGGCCCCACAGCAGACAGTCAGGGAACACACACTCTTCTTGGAATCACGCTGCAAGTGTCCCCTGCCTGTACCACACAGAGCAACCCCATTGGTGTGGTGTGTATGTCTTTGTGGGAGGTGACAGAAATAAATGGCCACCGGAGACTTCGCACACATGACAACTCTCTGTTGGGAGTAAGCCAAGCCTGGGCTGGGTAACAATAAAGGCAGTTCCATTCAGTGGAGTTCTCCATCCCATCAGGAGCCCAACAGAGTCAGGGATTTCAGTACTTAAGCCAAAATCAGGAAGCAGTCTACAAATCTAATGGGTCTAGCAGGGTCATAAGTATGTCCCTTCTCCACCCCCAAAGTTGCAATGAAGATGCAAAATGAAACTAAGTAAATCAGCCCAGTGTCAGCCTGGTGGATTTTCAAGGTTCTCCCTTTCCCTAGCTTGAAGGGGCTGATGTCATCCTGAAGCTGAGGCAACAGGTCACTGTCAGTTCCCTGGGGGCCCAATTATCCAGTGAGAGTCACTTTCTCCAAGTTCTTGCCTCAGAAGCCTCCCCTTCCCAGAAGGGTGGAAGAGAGGCCCAAATTATAGTTATCAATTCACAATTCAATTTGCACCATCACAACAGAGGCTTTCAGCCATCTCCCAGCCCCAGAGAGTCACTCGGCCATGGCTGTCCCTGAGGAATAAGGACTCACATGGTCCTCTCTAATGCTCTGATTAGCAATTATGAACCACTGGCAACTCTAGAAATTGGCCATTTTTGACCAAACTGGTGGGAGATAGAAATAGTTCTTGGGATTCCTGAGAGAAAAAGCACATGCAGAGTAAATCTCCCCTTAGAGTAAAATCTAAAGTCTTTCCCGCAGCGGACAGTTGTTTCTGCAAGCTGGTCCTGCCCCTCTGTCGGCTCTCTGACTTCATCTGCTGTGCCTCTTCATGCTCCTTCCAGATATCCTGGCCCCTTGCAATTTTTCAATAGGTGTAGTGGCCCAGCATTTTCACCCCAGGGCTTTGCACCTCCTAGTCCCCCTTTAGGAATGCCCTTCCCTCGCTGCCCGCCTGCTCATCCCCTCACTCCTTCAGGACTCAGTGGAAAAGTACTTTGACAGACTGACATCACCAACCACCAGGGGCACACAGCCTCGCATCCTTACCTCAGGCCCAGATACTGACCCTTTCATTCCTACTGTATCAGCACCCCCAAGTTGAATTGTAGCCGATTTAATGAATGTATTTAGTCTCATTGAGGATTTATGCATTTGAAAAGGCAAAGGTAAATATCATAAATTTCTTTCTTTCTTTTGGTTCCCCCTTCCAAATGCCTTTCCTTTCAATGTGCCTGTCACAATCGAAAGCCATGGATATTTATAAAAAGACCTTTTGGGAATCCCTAATGAAGGAGCATAATACTGACAAGGAGGAAGCCAAGGACTTTCATGAGAATGTAAGTTGGATAAAAATTTGAAACCATCTCCCCCAAATATCAGAGCAGGAGGCACCCACAGGCAGCGCATCTTCTGCACAGTTGTGTGAGGTCATCAAACAGTAGGCACACTTGGCAGCCTGCCAGAGAGCCTCGTGGGACAAGTGGGCTGAGCAGAGGAGTTCCCATTGCAAGCCCCAGGCCGTTGCAGGGCTTTGCCATGAAAGGACTTTAGGCAGTTGTGTGACACAACCAGATTGTTTTTGTTTACTTAGGTAGTCTGACTCAGCGTAGTTTTTGAATTATGCAACTATCATGTACATGATTTTTAAATATTGAAATGGTCAGAAGGCTGATTCTGCCTTCTGCCTTGCAGGCACAAGGACCCAAGTTCGATCCTGGATACCAAAAAAAAAAAAAAAGTCTGTAAAATAAATTTTCCAAGTCTCCACCTCCTTACTTCCCAGTAATAGCTACTATGTACTATTCTTTAGCCTTCTGGAAACTTGAATGCATATATAAATATACACATCTTTTTAAAACATGCTTGTCTATAAAAGGATAATAATATATGTTCTGTTCTTTAGCTTTCTTTTCTCTAAATAATATATTTGTGAAATCCATGGTAGTCCATTATATCTTAAACGTAATTAGCATCCTATCGATGGATGACTGTTTCTGATGATAGATAGATAGATAGGGAGGGAGGGAGGGAGGCAATGAACTATACATACATTATTACATATGCAAGTATATCTAAAGAATACATTATTAGCAGCTGAATGCTGAATCTAAAAAAAATCTGCGTCCTTAGCTCACAGGTTTACCCACACACACATAGGTTGGGCCATTTTCCTTTCCCTAGAGGCCTGGAGAATACCTCCTTCACACCTTATCTACCAAGGGTCATAACTGGGCGCATGTGACAGAGTGAAAATCACGATGTCTCACCATTCCCTCCTGCATCTCTTCATTGTGAAGGGTGCCAGGCATTTTTCACATTCACGGGTCACGTGTGTCTCTTTGTCAGAAGGGCCATCTTCTGCGTTTTGTCCACTCTTCTATTATGTTATTTCTTTTTCCTTCTGATTTGTTCATGGCTTTTATATATTAAAGAACTTAGGGGCCAGGGATATAGCTCAGTGGTGCTGTCGCCTGTCTCACAAGCGCAAGGTCCCGAGTTCAATCCCCAGTACCAAAACAATCAAAAGAACTTAGTCCTTTTCCAACATGTATGTTGTAAGGTTTTTTATTCAGTTTGTATTTTGTATTTCAAAAAAAAAATTTGGGGGGGGTACTGGGGATCGAACTCTGGACCTTGCACTTGCAAGGCAGGTGGTGGCACCACTGAGCTACATCCCCAGCCGTAAATTCCAAATTTCTTCATGATTTTTTCCATGGCATGATCATTTTTCATTTTCAGGTAGTCTCATTGATCCATTTTTTTCTTGTATAACTGCTAGGTACTGTTTTATATTTAGAAATGTCTTTTCACTCTCAAAAATATTTTATAATTCACTCATCTTTTTCTAGCTGTCTCAGGAATCTTCTTAAATATATAATGTATCTGAAGAAAACAATATGGCATAGGAGATCCATCCAGAGTCCCCAGCAGTATTAACTGAGTTCTTTCACAACTGATAGGCTCTGTACCACATTTTTAAAGGTCATTCCCTTGGTGGTATGGATGACAGATTGGAGGAGTGGGGAGATGAAGCACAGGAAGAAGAGTAGCCCCGCAGAAGCAGTACAGATGAACAAACAATAAAGCCTGGTTGTTTTGGGCCATGCCCACTACATTTGCCATGACCTAGGACACAGTAAGCTCTGTAGCCTGGGAAGCTGAAGAGAAGAAGAAGGGCATGTTTGTACAGTAAGATAGAAAGTTCCATCTGGGACAGAGTGAGTTTCAAGTACCTGTAAAACATCCAGATGAAGCCCACCTGAAAACCAGAAATAGCCAGTCTAGATCCTAGGAGAAAGCTTTTGACTGAAGTTTGGATTTGGAATCTATTAATTTGCTAAGGCCACTGTAACAGTGTCATGAGCCAAGTGGCTTAAACAGCAGAAACGTATTGACTCCCCAGTTCTGAAGGTAGAAATACAAACTCAGGGTGTCAGCTGGCTTGGTTCCTCTTGGAGCCTACGAGGGAAGGATCTGGCCCAGACCTTTCTCCTTGGCTTGTAGATGATATCTTCTCCCTGTCACCTCACATCATCTTCTCTCTGTGCGTATCTCTGTCAAAAATTGTATAAAGATACCAGTCATGCTGGATTAGGCCCGCCTTAATGACCCATTTGTCTGTCTCTCTCTTTTGTGTGTGTGTGTGTGTGTGTGTGTGTGTGTGTGTGTGTGTGTGTGTGCGTGGTACTGGTGATTGAATCTAGGACCTTCATACTGCGTTACATCTCCACCTTTTTATTTACTTTTTTGAACTAGAGTATCTCTAAGACATAAACTGCTCAGGCTGGGCTTGAACTTGTGATCCTCCTTCCCCAGGCTCCCAGAATACTAGAATTAGAGCAGTGTCCTACCACACCCAGCTCTAATAACCCCATTTTAATTTAATTACCTCTTGAAGACCCTACCTCCAAACAAGATCACAGTCTAAGGTACTAGAATTAGAACTCAACATATGAATTGGAGGCTGGGGAACACAAACCATCCCTGAACAGAATCCTCAGCATATAGTTGGAGCCTTGGAGCTCATGGAGCATTATTTTCTCACTACTGTGGATAGGCGATTTCTCCTCCCCCGCATCCACAACACATAAAAGCATGCCAGTATTAGTTGGTTTTCCTATGTGAACCTGGGAACTTTTGGTTTGCAGTTAGTATGAGGGCTTTTGGAATCCAGAAAAAAGTGTGAAAGGGGATGATTAACATGTCTTATTTTTTATCTAAATGCCAATCACTCATGAAAGCTGGTCATGAAGCACATTGTGAAATTCTGGACATAACTAGTGTTGCTGTAGGGCCCAATTGGCAAAGTATGGCACAAACCAGGGAGAGCCCTTCACCTCTAACTTCCATGCCACTTTTTCTCTCAAGAACTGGACAATCAGGACACCGAGGCAGTGCCTGTGGCACAGACCCCAGCATTCTCATGATAGGTATAGTAGTGGCCAGCTTTGCATAACCTGACACAGGCTACTTATGAAGTAAAGGGAGGTTTATTTTGGCTCATCGCCCTGGAGGTTCAAGTCTACAACCAGGCAGCTCTGTTGGTTTGGGCTCTGACAAGAGCAGCACATTATGGCAGGACTGCATGTCAGACTAAGCAGTCATATCTTGAGCCAGGAAACAAAAAGAAAGGGGAAGAGATGAGGTCGCATATCCCTTTAGAGGGCACCCCTCCAATGACCTAAAGCCCTTCCACGGGGCCCTACCTCTAAAAAGTTCCATCACCTTTGCTACAACCATGGAATCAAGCAACCCCCCAACACATGGGCCTATGGGGGACAAATATCCAAACCATAGCAGATGGTCATTTGGCTTCTCCAAGCAACCTGGTAAACCAGATGTGGCCCAGCAGAGCCACACCAGGAAAGGAAGAACAGGACGAGTGCCATACTGCACCTGCCACTCAACATTTGTGTAAATTGCTGAGGCAGTATCAGAAATCTGGGTACAAACTAGGAAGAAGAAACTAAGACTATTTGAATGGGGCTTTCAAGATATACTCTGCTACTTCGACAACTAGATTCATTGGCTAACTTTAGCTCACTATCACACACTCATTTTTATTTCTGATATACTCATGTATCACAAGCCTCACAGTGCATGCAAGTTCCTTTGGTTTCAGCAACCAGTGATTCCACTGAGAGGGGTCTCTGAACATGGGAGACCTCATCACTAAAGTGCCCAATAAATAGAGGGTAGTTATACTGCATTGGCTGGGTGAGAAAATGATACAAACTCCTAAGGTGTCACATATGTTGTCTTCATAGTGTGGAGTGGTCCAGCCTAAATGGGGCAATAACATCAAGTGGACTGTCCAGTGGAGTCTATTGTCCAGTGGATTACAATGGCCTTGTATTTTCTGGTGAACACACAGAGAATGCACAGGGTACTGGTAGATGACTGGCCACAGCAAATAAAGTCACTCCATCCCAACCAAAGTACTGACAACAATGAAGAATTTAGTGACAAGAATACCAGCAGCAAGGCCCTTACCTGAATTTGCCTAAAGGTACTGATTTGAACAAAGAGGAGAAGGGTTGTTCAGAGGACAGGAATTAGGCAAGCCAGATCTAAGGCACCAGGTTTTTCCCCAACTTGGACAAACACCAGTCATACTCTTGGATTTGTTCCACTTCCCACACAACTTTGATATTTTGGTCTTTCATGTACCATAGGAGGACAATGAGTTGATGGCAATCTGTTATCACATACTGAATGACAGTCATAATAATCTCAACCTGTAGGTAAGCTAAGAATAAGCAGCTTGACCAAGCCCTGCCTCTCCTCTCTAGAAAAGCAGCCAGCTTTCACTTTCTATTGAAGGAATCCAAAGAAAAGACTCTTGTGAGCACCCACCTAAGAGTTAGTCATTATAATAAGCACAGATCTGGGATAGAATGGTCAGATTTATAAAATACAAAGGCAGCTCATTACATGCCTGGGAGGAGTTTTTAAAGGCAAAACTGTCCAATACAATGATGTGCTAGCTACACTACTTTCTGCCAAATTCAGCCTTGTCACTGAATACATAAGCTACCCTGGGAGTCTGACTATTTTAGGGATGCAGAAAGCCTGTTATACTATTAAGACATGGAATGTTTGCATGTCCTATAGTCATCTCCACAAGTGGAAAAAGGAAATGTATACTCAATATATATAT